ACGCATCCTTCGCAACACTTGGCCAGCTTAAATCAAACTCCTAAAATATACGTCGACGTTTTAAATATATTCCTGAACTCATTCATTTCTAACTTCTGAATTTACTGGGTTCATATCTTTCGACTATAATGATATTTCTGAAGAATGCATAATGGAACCCTGATTATCTTTAACATCTTAGATTTACACTTGGTTTTTACTTTTCACTAGTAAGATTCATTTGAATTGTGGAGCTTATTTATTGTGGTTATAGATCACAAACCTAGATAATATGTGTCAAGTGATTGGAGGCCTACTCTAGTTTGACTGGCATGGTGTGAACTACTGGTTAATTCCGAAGGTGCACCTCGTGGACAGCATATAATGTGAATAACCCATTCGTCTTATCACTGTACTATGGCTGCTTTGAAGACCTTATAACACAAAAAACGTTTTTTCAGGAATATATTGGTAAGGGCAGGTGAAACAGCTTAGTTTGATTGGCTAAGAGTTGACTTCAAACAACTAAGCATATGTCAAAACAATAGAGTTCAAGTATTCATCCACTTCATCATTTTTTACAGGTATTATGTTACCTATTATCTTATATTGAATGCTGGAAAGCTTTGTTTGTCTGAACAGGTGACCCCACACTCCACTATGATTGCTTGAAGATCTAAATAAAGACTGGTTTCTTCTATCAAAAGAACGAGGGTTACATATAGGCACGAAATATGTACAGGAGAGTGGGACCACCAGAGCATGGATCATTGATATGCGGTGGTTGTCCTTAAAAATCAGTGGCCTGATTGTTGTATGACTTGGGCCCAATGACATTTCACTAGCCCTACAGGATCAAGATTGTCGTTTCGAAGTTATTTTGTTGCTTTGTGTTTTTATTGTTTATTACAAGCAGCATTTACTGGTTTGCATGTGTATCACGCGAGGTCTTCAGTATATTATACTTTAATTAACGAAAGACTAATTTGTTTTCATATTTGAATGATTGAATTTGGAATTACTGAACTTTTATTCACTCTTGGTCAAAGTTTGTCTCTTCAAAAGACATATTCAAAAGTCTTATTTCAGATATTAGCTATATCTTCATCTAATTGCTGATGAAGATGCCACAGGTATTCGGAGTTTGTCAGCGCTTTAACCAGAAACACCTATATGAAGCGTACCTGTAGTGGCATTGGACAATAACCACACAATCCGCAAAGCTGAAGACGAGACTACTCAGAAAATAGAGATTCAATATTTAACGCGGAGATAGCTCACAGCTACTTTATAGTGTAAAGTTATATATGAATTTGAGCTCACTTTCTAGAATGGAAAATCCAAGCATCAGTTACGATGTAGAAAATATATTTGGGATCCATAGAAGTATTAAATATTTTTCCCAATCGATCCATTAAGATTCACCCCTGAAGCTATGAAGACACCGGCTGACTTGACAAAACTTCTACATCCTACAAAAGATCAACAAGGACTCGGAGTTTGTTAACGCCTGGACACATAACACCCCTAATTATATCAACCTAATGAATTCGGAAATCAGAAGTGAAGATATATTGGGAAAGCTATCGATACGTCGAGAGGTATTTGATCTAAGCTGGTTAACGGTTGAAAGCGATGCGAAGTTCACCGTACTCACTAGGGATTTGGCGCGGTTGCATAACCGAACGCCTTCAGTTAGATGTGTTGGTATTAAATATCAAAGAGTTAAAGAATTATCATTTGGGGATTTATTTACCGCCACACTTTCACTTCTATTAATATCCCAGTGATTTTACCAGTCTCACATTGTCTGAGCACTCCATATCCTTATGTTTATTGTTGTTCTGATTGCCATAAAGTGTGTCGACATCATGGGTTATTAGGCATTTAAGCTTTTATTAATAGGGGTCGTAACTGTCCCATGTGAAGACCCTTCAACTCTCTGGGGAGAGTTGAGGTGGTTTGATCATTCCACGTTGATTAGCGATTTTTAGATAATTTGTTTAGTACGACGATTGTTTGCTCATTCTATTCCCAGCATTCTTCTCACACATAGAATCACGACTGGAAAAAGTTATAGTCTCTAGGTTCTAGAAAAAGTTAGCTAGACCATTTGAGTGAACTAAAATATTTCGTATTTGGATTGGGTAGATGAATAATATGGAGTGAAATATACAAGAATGTTCTAGATAACTCAGTGGGCAGACATATACCAACGAGCATATGGAAAGGTATTTTAACAGGACTTACAAATTTATGTATGAAATAGCATATGTACAAGTCACAATCAATTATTATAAATATGGAATTATCAGGAAGATTATATTTGCTTACTGGACAAGTGCTGTTTGCATGATTATTAATTGTCCAGGTAGGAATAAATTCATATAAGTGTATACGAAGAAACTTATATATTAGGAAGTCGGTCATGAGATTACCTCAGATCATTGACGACATCATATACAATTAGATTCAGATATATCTCAATATTAACCATGCTGTTAGATTAACTTTGATTCGATTCAACTTTATAACGATTTGACTTCGTGTAAGAATGCTATCGACGTAGAGGATGCCCTGCTAGCTAGTCATTTACTGACATCCAATAGAAACGTAAGAATACTGCCCGACATTCCGTATTCTGAGCGCAATCTCATCCGGAACACCCCTAAAGAATCTCGCGAGAAGTTTTCCCGCGGAAGAAGTATAATTGTGCAAGGTGTACCGAAAAACACGGACCCTAGTCAAGCAAACTCTGATATTGGGGGATGGAAATTCATCAAACAGTCTTTGAGGCTCAAAATCATACTGACTCAACACGTGACGAGACTAGCCAAGAAGGATGATGATTCTAGACCCCGGTTAATGAGGATAACTTTTCCATCCTCCCATATGGCGGCTGCAACTCTGGAAGAATTTCGTACCAACAGACGTCGGTTGCCAACTGGAATCCACATGCACCCTGACAGGCCATATGAAGCCAGTACCAAACACGAAGGCAAGTCGGAGCCGATCGTTCCACTTGTGGACTGTCTTGATTATAAAAAAACGTGTAAAGCACAGGGCCTACCAACTCGGCAAACCTTATATTGGTAGGCCCACTGTCCATTCACGTAAGGCTCACACAGACAAACAGGAAGAACCTCACGCGTTTCAAATCGAAAGCATAAACTGCTTATACATGAACGCTGCGAGTCTACCAAACAAAATGGATGAGCTGAGTGAGCTTAGCAATGCTGCTAATGCTCACCTGATAGGGATATCTGAATCTTGGATATCTTCTCAGTTCTCAGAACAGGAGTTAGCAATTTATGGGATGTCTTTGTTTCGCAACGACAGAAAAACAGGAATTAAGGGTGAAGTAGCCGTATGCATACGATCTTGCTTGGAGGTACACCAATTTCATAAACTCGAGGAATCCATATGGTGCTCTGTAAGATTGTCTGCTACTTCGAGGTGCCTATTTGGCGTCATATATAGGAAGCCCATTGCCGACATCGAGTATGAAAGTCTTATGCTGGAAAGACTATACCGCTTTACGCGTCTCGGTTTCACTCATATTCTGATTCTAGGGGACTTCAATCTCCATAGAGTCAATTTCGCGAAACATATGTATATTGGAGGTGAAAACTCAACTGAAATTCGGTTCTTCAACCTCATTGAGGATTTGGGATTATACGAAAATGTGAGGTCGGCAACTCTTTGGAGACACAACCAGACACCATCGCGATTAGACTGTGTATTTACAAACGAAGAATTCCTAGTTGACAACCTCTCAGTCCTGGATCACCTGGGGAAAAGCGATCACGCCGTTATAGCTTTCAATTTTGTCAGCAAAACTGAGCTAAGATATCCCACCAACAACATGCGCTGGAATTTCGAACGGTTGAATTTTTCAGCTCTATAGGACTATCTACAACAGGTGGATAGCGATGTTCACCCTCAACTCGATGAGGATACTCATTGGGACTTCTCGCTGCACACAATCTTATGTGCAGCAAAGCAGCCAGTTCTTCAAAAGGTCCCCAAAAGCTACAAGCAACCTAAAATCATCAAGAACCACACTATTCGTCTTCTAAGCTGCAAAAAACACTGTTGGGCAGAATACAAATGAACTGACAACAATGGAGCGTGGAGACAATACAAGCATGTAAAGAACAAAAATGCCTTTCTAGCAAACCTTGCATTGGTAACATTGAAGCGCATTTTTGGCCAGTTCGACGGAAGAACTTTCCATATAATCTTCAATAGCTTTATCCATCCCCATTTAGAGTACGGAAACTTAGTATTTCCCTCCTCACTCCAAAAGGATAAGGACACCCTGGAGCGTATTCAACGGCGAGCCACGAAATCAGTTCGAGGACTCAAATTCAAACCTCATGAAGAGCGCCTCCTATCATTTAACCTTAAACCATTAGAGTATAGACGTCTTAGAGGTGACCTTCTGATGGCTCAAAGTATCCTTAACACTTCTGGACATCTTAAACACCTACTTAAGCTTAGTCCCAATACCAACCTAAGGGATAACACCCAGAAATTGGAGACACAACAAAGCAGAACGGACTGTAGACACAACTTCGACTCCTTAAGAGTTGTCAAATGCTGGAATTCGCTGCCGGCCGAGCTATTCCAAGAGACTTCCCAGGAGTCCTTTAAGAGGCAACTTGATCTATTCTTCAGGTCTGATGATATCATCATACTATGATTTACCAATTCCCTTTTTCCTCTTTTATCGGTAATGTACCTAGGTCCTTGCCCGTAGTTATTCATGATCCCCTGCTACTAGACACGGAAGCCTGTTAAGCGAAAGCTTCTTCTATTCCGTCCACAACCATTTGTATCATTTGAACCATTTTTGACGTAATTGTTATTTTATGAAAACGAAATACCATATTCGGAAAAATTATACAGACTTATCGAAACGTCTGACAATCAAACGCAATCAACATATGCCTGTCGTAAATCATAATTGAGTTTTCTTCATTATCTCACTTTCACGGTTCTTCGTTTAGATACGTCAGGGTACAAGGAGACTCACGTGGCGGTAAAGCTTCGTGATTGGACAGGTATATGATAAGCCGGAACATTGACTTAAAACAAGTAAAATTAGCCTGTTAGGCACGTGAAACTCTTGAAATAATCCCAATTTGTGTTTCGACCCAACCTCCAAATTGCGGGGAAAATTTCGCCCGTTTCAGAAAAGCCGCTGTAGAAAATTCTAGGGAAATGTAGACATTCCGAGTTGCATAAAGATTTGACCCATGAATTGTTGCAGTGCGACAGTTACGTTTGATCAGTGTATTCTTTTATATATTCAGTTTAGTGTTGTTTCTCACTTTCATCCTCGTATCCGATTTGTTCTTATGAATAATATTTCTCACGTTTAGTTTTTCTTACAGTGGTTGATTTCATTTCGACTCATCTCATGTTGCTATTTTCCTTTCTCCTTGCGTTGATGTGAGTGGTGAAAACCTGGACTGACACATTTGTATAATGCTCTATGCGGATAACTGATTGATAGTGTTGATATATTTAATAAGTTCTATTCCACTCAAACGTCTTGTTGATTTTATCGCTAGCAACGTAGGTAATTTGTACTTAAACGCTAATTCATCGTTCTGCGCTTTAAAGTTATGATGACAGTATTTGCAAGTGCTCATACTCTGTCCGGGTAAGTAACAGTAAGGTTAGACACATGGCATTATGGAATGATGGTAAGTCAGCTGATGAGGTTGTAAATCTTCATCGACTGGGATGATTAGGGCACGTGTCACGTATGCCTGAACATTGATTACCACGACGCGCAATGCTGACTTGTGTTGGGGATGGTTGGAAAAAAGTTAGGGGCGGCCAAACCAAAACGTGGTATCAGCCCATACAGTCACTAACTTCTAATCTTATCCATGTTGGTAGATGCAGACTATTTAGTTGGGGTCCATTTAAATATCGTAACCAATAGTTGGAGACTCTTGGGAACATGGTTCAAAATCGATGACAGTGGCGTAGGTTTATACATTCTTTGTCTTCCCTTAAACCATGAGGTTAAAATTGCTGAATTCCTTTAGTCTACGAACTAAGTCTTTCTTATGCGTTATATCCTTATACAAAAAATTTCTTTCAAATATTACCACCACTGAATTAACTGCTAGGAATTCGGTGTTCATCTTGTGCTAGTGAGTTATGGCAACTTGGACCAATGCATATATGTGCCTGGTCCTATGTTGTATCTGACTGACTGATTGTTGTAACCTAAATCACTGAAGTTACACATTATATAATCTGGTGATCCATTCCAGGGTTAGTGCGCCTACAGATTCATAACTTTCCTTACCTGTTTTATCAGTATCTAGTGTTTTGTTTTCTACTTTTGGTTGCAAGGAGTCACGCGTTGCTGAACAATCAACGCAGTTGCCACCGTAAACTCAGTTGAAAATGTCAAGTATATAAAAATCTCAGTGATGGTGCAAGTACAGGATAGAGAAACTGGTTTATCGAAAAATGAGTACCTTCTTGCTGGTTCTGTCAGTGGTTTTGTTGCTAGGGCAGTTGTACAACCTTTGGACGTAATTAAAATACGTTTTCAGGTAGGCATCTTAGTTTTTTTCTAAATTCTGAGTAGCTACAAATGGAACCAATCGAAGTTTCCAGAACGAGCAAGTATCAAGGTCTTATGCAAGCCGTCAGGTGCATAAGCAAGGAAGAGGGCGCTATTGCTTTTTGGAAAGGTCATGTTCCTGCTCAAATGCAGTCGGTTACGTTCACTAGTGTTCAGTTTCTTACTTTTGAAGTGATTCTTTCGTGGCTGCGTGAAGTCAACAGTCTCCTTATTTCAGATAACAAAATATTTGGCTTACCTATTACCTACAAACCTATTGGTAACTTTCTGTGCGGATGTGGAGCGGGCTCTTTAGCAGCAGTAGTTACTCAACCACTAGACGTCCTACGCACACGTTTCATTGCTCAAGGTGAGCCGAAAACTTACGGGTAAGCTTCTTCAATATTGCTATCGTTAGCTCCCAGTTGACTTGTCTAGTAATATATGTGTATTTTTAAAGTTGCCTTCAGCGATTTATAAACTGTGTGGAATGTAAGTTTAGAGTGCAGGTAAAAACGTTTTGATCTCAGAAATATCTAGACTTCTACGTCCATATATTTACATTTGATTTTTCAATGGATAAATGAGTTGAGAAGCGTTCCTCATATTCCAAATGATAAATGTCCCCTATGATTGTCCACTATGTCCACTATGATTTACTTGAGAAGATCGTCAACATACGACGAACTACATTGCAGAGTCGTTCATTGAGGACAGCTATCAAATACAATCCAAGTAAGGACTAAAGCCAGACAAGGCTGCTTACTCTCACCCTTCCTCTTTCTTTTCGTAGTCGACTGAATTATGAAAACCTCGACATCGGAGAGGTAACACGGAATACAATGGACAACTTGCATGCAACTAGACGGTTTGGACCTCGCAAATGACATAGCTTTCCTATCTCATACACACCAACAAATGCAGATGAAGACAACCAGTGTAGCAGAAGCCTCTGCATCAGTAGGTCTTAACATACTTACTTACTTACTTACGCCTATTACTCCTCGTGAAGGAGCATAGGCCGCTCACCAGCATTCTCCATCCAACCCTGTCCTGGGCAATCCTTTCTAGCTCCGTCCAGTTGTAATTCATCGTTTTCATATCTGCTTCTATTATCCGACGCAATGTGTTCTTTGGCCTTCCTCTTTTTCGCTTCCCCTCAGGATTCCAAGTTAGGGCTTGCCTCGTGATGCAGTTTGACGATTTGCGTAATGTATGTCCTATCCATTTCCATCGTCTTTTCCTAATTTCTTCTTCAGCTGGAAGTTGGTTTGTTCTCTCCCACAGAAGGCTATTGCTGATGGTATCCGGCCAATGGATGTTGAGTATCTTGCGTAGACAGTTATTTATAAATACTTGTACTTTCTTGATTGTGGTTGTTGTAGTTCTCCAAGTTTCAGCTCCATACAGTAGAACTGCCTTGACGTTCGTATTGAAGATTCTTACTTTGATATTGGTTGAAAGTTGTTTTGAGTTCCATATGTTCTTCAATTGTAGGAATGCGACCCTTGCTTTGCCGATCCTCGCCTTTACGTCTGCATCGGATCCTCCTTGTTCATCGATGATGCTTCCCAGGTATGTGAAGGATTCTACATCTTCCAGAGTTTCGCCATCAAGTGTGATTGGATTGCTGTTCTCCGCTTTGAATTTGAGGACCTTAGTTTTCCCTTTGTGTATGCTGAGGCCTACTGTATTCAGCTTGTGCTTGGACTTTCTCTGCTCGTGTTCGGCTGTTGTTTATTGCTGCCTTCTTGTTCTTCCTTTCTTTGATCTTGTCCACTGTTTCTGTAGAGATCCATTCCTTATGATGGTATTTCTTTAGACCGAGAACCTCTTGACACGTTGAAGTTAATGCTTCCTTGATGCCTTTCCAGTTGTCCTCCATAGTAGTTTCTTCTTCTTTCAGTAGATCTAGTAAGGCTTGGAACCTGTTGTTGAGAGCTATCTTGAATTCATTAAGCTTGACAGTATCTCGAAGGAAGGCTGTATTGAACCTTTGTATTGCTGTTTGTCCACTTGTCCAGTTCTTTTTTAGCTTCAGTTTTAAATTGGCTACAACTAGGTGGTGATCTGAAGCTACGTCAGCACCTCTCCTGGTTCTCACATCTTCCATTGTCCTTCGAAATTTTTTGTTGATGCAAATATGATCTATTTGGTTCTCTGTAGTGTGGTCCGGTGAGATCCATGTAGCCTTGTGTATACGCTTGTGTGGAAATATCGTGCCTCCTATGACCAATTTGTTGAATGCACATAGATTTGCAAATCTTTCTCCATTTTCGTTTCTTTCTCCCAGTCCATGTCGTCCCATAATATCTTCATATCCAGTGTTGTCTATTCCAACTTTGGCATTTAGATCTCCCATCAGAATAGTTAGGTCCTTTCTTGGGCATTTCTCAATGATTGACTGCAGCCGCTCGTAGAACTGATCTTTGATTTCGTCGTTGCTATCATTGGTGGGTGCATAACATTTGATAATATTCATTAAGATCCCCTCCTTCTTTGTTTTGAATGATGCTTTGATGATTCTGGATCCGTGAGATTCGCATCCTACAAGTGCATTTCGTGCTACTTTGGACAGCATAAGAGCGACTCCCTGAGTGTGTGGAGCATTGTCCTCTTCGTGACCGGAGTATAGCAGCATCTCTCCCGTAGCTAGCCTTTTCTGTCCAGCTTGGGTCCAGTAGGTTTCGCTGATTCCCAGTACTGCTAAGTTGTATCTCCTCATTTCCATTGATATTTGACTGGTCTTCCCGGTTTCCCACATTGTTCGAACGTTCCATGTACCTATAAAAATTTTTGCTCTGGTTGTTAGAAGGGGCATCGGCCTCGTGGCTTCCGAAGGAACTCGGCTTTCACCATGAAGCGTCATAATTCTTCTAAATGAAGACCTTCTAACTCTCAGGGCAGAGTTTAAATGGTTTGGATTATTTTTTCTGGTAAGCGTTTTTTAGCGAGTTGGTTTTCTACGGGATGGGGACGCTAACCCCATGCCCAACCCTTCATTGCTCAAGGTGAGCCGAAAACTTACGGGTAAGCTTCTTCAATAGTGCTATCGTTAGCTCCCAGTTGACTTGTCTAGTAATATGTGTGTATTTTTAAAGTTGCCTTCAGCGATTTATAAACTGTGTGGAATGTAAGTTTAGAGTGCAGGTAAAAACGTTTTGATCTCAGAAATATCTAGACTTCTACGTCCATATATTTACATTTGATTTTTCAATGGATAAATGAGTTGAGAAGCGTTCCTCATATTCCAAATGATAAATGTCCCCTATGATTGTCCACTATGTCCACTATGATTTACTTGAGAAGATCGTCAACATACGACGAACTACATTGCAGAGTCGTTCATTGAGGACAGCTATCAAATACAATCCAAGTAAGGACTAAAGCCAGACAAGGCTGCTTACTCTCACCCTTCCTCTTTCTTTTCGTAGTCGACTGAATTATGAAAACCTCGACATCGGAGAGGTAACACGGAATACAATGGACAACTTGCATGCAACTAGACGGTTTGGACCTCGCAAATGACATAGCTTTCCTATCTCATACACACCAACAAATGCAGATGAAGACAACCAGTGTAGCAGAAGCCTCTGCATCAGTAGGTCTTAACATACTTACTTACTTACTTACGCCTATTACTCCTCGTGAAGGAGCATAGGCCGCTCACCAGCATTCTCCATCCAACCCTGTCCTGGGCAATCCTTTCTAGCTCCGTCCAGTTGTAATTCATCGTTTTCATATCTGCTTCTATTATCCGACGCAATGTGTTCTTTGGCCTTCCTCTTTTTCGCTTCCCCTCAGGATTCCAAGTTAGGGCTTGCCTCGTGATGCAGTTTGACGATTTGCGTAATGTATGTCCTATCCATTTCCATCGTCTTTTCCTAATTTCTTCTTCAGCTGGAAGTTGGTTTGTTCTCTCCCACAGAAGGCTATTGCTGATGGTATCCGGCCAATGGATGTTGAGTATCTTGCGTAGACAGTTATTTATAAATACTTGTACTTTCTTGATTGTGGTTGTTGTAGTTCTCCAAGTTTCAGCTCCATACAGTAGAACTGCCTTGACGTTCGTATTGAAGATTCTTACTTTGATATTGGTTGAAAGTTGTTTTGAGTTCCATATGTTCTTCAATTGTAGGAATGCGACCCTTGCTTTGCCGATCCTCGCCTTTACGTCTGCATCGGATCCTCCTTGTTCATCGATGATGCTTCCCAGGTATGTGAAGGATTCTACATCTTCCAGAGTTTCGCCATCAAGTGTGATTGGATTGCTGTTCTCCGCTTTGAATTTGAGGACCTTAGTTTTCCCTTTGTGTATGCTGAGGCCTACTGTATTCAGCTTGTGCTTGGACTTTCTCTGCTCGTGTTCGGCTGTTGTTTATTGCTGCCTTCTTGTTCTTCCTTTCTTTGATCTTGTCCACTGTTTCTGTAGAGATCCATTCCTTATGATGGTATTTCTTTAGACCGAGAACCTCTTGACACGTTGAAGTTAATGCTTCCTTGATGCCTTTCCAGTTGTCCTCCATAGTAGTTTCTTCTTCTTTCAGTAGATCTAGTAAGGCTTGGAACCTGTTGTTGAGAGCTATCTTGAATTCATTAAGCTTGACAGTATCTCGAAGGAAGGCTGTATTGAACCTTTGTATTGCTGTTTGTCCACTTGTCCAGTTCTTTTTTAGCTTCAGTTTTAAATTGGCTACAACTAGGTGGTGATCTGAAGCTACGTCAGCACCTCTCCTGGTTCTCACATCTTCCATTGTCCTTCGAAATTTTTTGTTGATGCAAATATGATCTATTTGGTTCTCTGTAGTGTGGTCCGGTGAGATCCATGTAGCCTTGTGTATACGCTTGTGTGGAAATATCGTGCCTCCTATGACCAATTTGTTGAATGCACATAGATTTGCAAATCTTTCTCCATTTTCGTTTCTTTCTCCCAGTCCATGTCGTCCCATAATATCTTCATATCCAGTGTTGTCTATTCCAACTTTGGCATTTAGATCTCCCATCAGAATAGTTAGGTCCTTTCTTGGGCATTTCTCAATGATTGACTGCAGCCGCTCGTAGAACTGATCTTTGATTTCGTCGTTGCTATCATTGGTGGGTGCATAACATTTGATAATATTCATTAAGATCCCCTCCTTCTTTGTTTTGAATGATGCTTTGATGATTCTGGATCCGTGAGATTCGCATCCTACAAGTGCATTTCGTGCTACTTTGGACAGCATAAGAGCGACTCCCTGAGTGTGTGGAGCATTGTCCTCTTCGTGACCGGAGTATAGCAGCATCTCTCCCGTAGCTAGCCTTTTCTGTCCAGCTTGGGTCCAGTAGGTTTCGCTGATTCCCAGTACTGCTAAGTTGTATCTCCTCATTTCCATTGATATTTGACTGGTCT